AGAGAGAGAGAGAGACAGAAAGAGGGAGAGAGGAAGAGGAGAAACAAAAACTAATTTTCCAGGCAGGGAAATACTTAGAAAACCTTTTATGTCAAAGTTAGGATTTCACAACATAACACACTAATGCAAAATCCAATAGCACCTGTAAGATTTAAGTAAATGCTGCCATCACGTAAATGCTTTTTAAAAAATATCTGTAAAAGCCTGAAGGAAAAAAAGATAAAGTACATTCTCCAGAGAACAACAAATGTATTTCAAAATAAAAACTGTATTTTTGTTTTTCTTTTTTTTTTTCAGTTGTTTTTTTGTACAAGAATTCATAGTTGTCATATAATAACTTACACACAATGGGATCAATCTCTGCTCTCCTTTTCTGTGTCACTTCAAGTCCACATGTTCAGGCTACAATCCCCAACATCATTTTCTGATAAATATATTACCACAGTTTGACCTAAATATAGATACATTATATAATACTTGTCTCTGGGAAAATCAAATTTTAATATGCAAATTTTTATTTATATAATACAGAAATGGAGAAAACTACAGTAGGCACACAACCTAATTATGACTAGTAGATGATGACTCTAGATACTCTCCTACTGTAAATTAATGTTTAAAATAATCTTAATAAGATTTTATTTATATGTGCACTTGTGTTCACCTTATCCCAAATACTATACACGTCTAATGACAATCTGGGAATTTAAAGGTGCAGCCCTCAAGAAATTGTTAAATCACTAAAAAAAAGAACAAATTAGGCTCTACTGGACAAGGAAAAAACTCACAAAATTTCCAATTTTAAATTTCATATCAGTAGGAAAATATTAAAAATATTTTTCTGTATATACATATGGGTATATGTATATATTGAATTACACATGTCTCACATATCAATACAATTCAAGAGGAGACATTCTGATGAGTTATTTTCCCATGAAATAACAACTATGTCAAAATTTAAAAATATCTTATTACATCATTAAAATAATTCACTTACCATTTCATCAGCTTATACTTTTTTAAAATTTTTTTATTTTTATTTTTAACTCTTCATAACTACATTCCCTGATCCCTAGAGTTAAATCCCCTATTTAAAACAAAATCGGGTGCTGTTTGTTACTCAGAAACTGATGGATAAAATCACATCTACTTCAAAATTCTATCAATCAAATAAATTTTATTACCTGATTTATCAGAGAAATATCTCAGCTCTGAGCTTGTGTACCTAAATTATCCTCCCTATAAATACATAGGTGAGGAAAATATTCTAAAATAGATGGAGGTAACTTACATGATGTTATCGCACATATAATACATGATGATTAAGTGTATGATATAAACTTTTCAGAGACACCTGAAAACTCACTTTAGAAACTAACTTTAGAAACAACCCATTTATTTTTCACTCTAGTATAAATTAATATGTATGCACGTACGTACATACACATACATATATAAAACAAAACTGTCTATGTTGAGTAGCTGTTTGTGAGTGAAAAAAATGGTTACAAACTGATTAATTAGCTTAATTTTGTACTTAACAATTCAATCTTTTGGGGGTACTAACAAAAATCAGTGCGTTTTATAGACTCCATGGAGTCAGATACTCAAGCAAACACTTTAAAAAAGAACCCTCCTCATCATCACGGGCATTGTACAGCAAGAATATACGGACTCTAAAGCAATTCTTACTCCATAAGCAGACTAGACAGCACTTGGCTTACTTTTAAAATAGCTTCTTAAAAGAAATATATAAAGAAATGCATCTTTGCTAAAAGTCTTTTAAAATTACATCAAAACAACATTAAAACCTGTTCACCGAGAAGAGCCTATTGAATTGAATTCCTGTTTTGAAATGCCTATTTAACAGTTCAGAATATTGCCTTGTGAGGTTTGACTAGAGATGTGGTTGATGTGAAGGCCCAGACAGAGTGCACGGCTCCAATTCCAGTAAGTCCTCTGATCGGCTGTTGGATGGAAATGGACCCCCTTTAAAATAGCTATACACTTTAAAGTGATCTATAATAAACAGTTCCCCAATAACCATAATTATTTGTAAATTGAAATGCATTGATCATTCAGAAAAGATTTTTTTTGCAAAATATATAAATAAATGTAACTGCATATTCTGTAAATATACTTAACATTGCTAGACCAGACCGTCAGTGACGGGCTGCTGTATTTCAGTACTGTGTGTCAAATTTATTAGAAATTTAAAAAGAAAAATTTCTGAGGGACTCAGCTGCCTTTGTTAGTTGGCTTTAAAATGCGTAATAAAATGGGAGACAATATCTTCTCATAAATACATGGAGTCAATATGGAAAAATAAACTATACAGCGGACAAGATTCGAGAACACCAGAGTGTACCAGAGTGGTCACCAGAGTGAAATCTTCCGATATAAAAAAAAGGGAAGAACTCTATACACCCAGTTATAGTATGTTCCAATTACAGATGCAGCTCTCTCTCACTCCTGGCAAGAATTAATTGGTAATGGCACTGCTTCTCAGCAGTGCAAAAATATCCTGAGAAATTATTTAGATTACAACAAAAGACAGGGCTTTCATCACTAAGTTTTTGCACAAAACACAGCTTTAGATATCATAAATAAATTAATTTAAAAAGCAGATAGCCTTCACTGTGTTGAACACAAAAAGGGGATGTGACCCAGACATCGTTAATTCTCCCATTGGCGAATATCAGAAAAAAAAGATTGCATTAAGTGTCTATTTATAATTTTCTAGTTAACTATGGCCAATAATATACATGGAGGTAATTTGTAGTTCAAGTGTTTCATCTCTTTTTTTCCCCAAACTAGCTACAAGCTGAATTCTAAAATTTACACTGAAATATACAATTCCAATTTTCAAAAGATCCTCCTCCTGGAGGAGTGATATTTAAACTTTTTTGTGCAATCTTGATGCAGAGCCCAAACAGTCCTATGAAGAGAGACAGTGTATTTTTTAATCAATTGGCACTGAAATTTCACTTTCCTTAGCTGCATTCTAGTAGCTTGGCTAAGTTATCTCGTAATTCTGTTAGTTCAAATATTTTTCCGTCAAGAATTTCTAAGAGTGTCTTCAGGTTATTGCGAAAAGCTTCTTGTTCGTTCTGACTTTTCTCCAGACGTTGCTCTAAATCAGACAGCTGTCCCTCCAGGTCCTTGTTCCGAATTTCTACTTCCTTTAGAAACAAAAGTGTGATACGTGTACATGTCAGTTTGTGACATAGAAAACAATATAACTTTCATTATTACTAATATTGTTGTTAACACAGTTTGACCATCAGGATGAGTTTCTGAATCTCAGGTTAACGCAATTTGGGGAAATTTCAAATTGAAATTTGAACTGGTTTGTTCATGATCTACCCAACAAAAATTTCCTGATTGCTTATTTTGTGCCAGGAAACGCCCCAAGCACATCAAATACCGAGACAGGATTGAAGACCCCCTTTGAGGATTATGTACATCTTATGTCTATTTCTGCTCATGTACTGTTCCTAATGCTCAACTGTTAGCAATCTCAGATGAAAGCAGGCAGAGAAAAAGAAAGAAATTAATTGTTTCTCCTTACTGACAATTCTGGAAAAAGACTGAGAGAAGAAAAGGACTCTCTAAAATGAGGTTTTAGGATCCTCTGAATATGTTACTTATTCTTTGGTTATCTTAATAGCAAATGGATGCATGTGGTACAGAATACAGCTCAATTGCTAAAAATTGTAGTGAAGATATATAATAATTGCACATATAAGAATTATAAAGCTAACAATTCCAATATATTAGAAATCAAGGAAAGAAAAAGAATCACCAAAAGGAAATCCACGACTACAAAAAGTTCAAAAAAAAAATTTAACACAATAAATCCTGGCGTACTTAGAAGTTTTTATTGCTCTAAAAATGTTTCTAGGCATGACAAATATAATAAGTAATTCTAAAAAATAAAATGATAGAACATGAGCTACAGGGTTAGTTTTAGTAAAAAATCAAATTAAGAAAAATAGCCGAAAATCAACTATACATAAACTATTCAGATAAGCAATGAATTGAAAGTTACAGTAGTCCTCCTTATCTGAGAGGGGGCACATTCCAAGATTCCCAGTATCCACGGAACTGGATAGTACCAAACCCAATATATACTCTATGTTTTTTCCTGTGCGTACATACCTATGATAATGGTTAATTTAGAAATTAGGCACAGTAAGCTACTAACAGCAATAATAATAAAATAGAACAAGTATATCTACCCTGTAATAAAAACTATGTGAATGTGGTCCCCTCAAAATATCTGATAATGAGATGGATACGAAGTGACTAACGGGCTGGTAGCCTATACAACATGGATATGCTGGACAAAGGGATGATTTATGTCCCAGGTGGGACAGAGCAGGACGACTCGAGATTTTGTCATGATACTTATAATGGTGTGCAACTTAAAATTTATGAATTGTTTATTTCTGGAATTCTCCACTTAGTATTTTCTGACTGCTGTTGACCACGAGTAACTAAAATGACAGAAAACAAAATTGTGGATAAGGGAGGTCTACAACATATATCCTTTCTGGAAAGCTCACTTTTACAGCTGAGAGGGATTAAGCAACTGATACAAATTACATTCATATATGCAAATTATATGGGAGAATGAAAATATTTTAGTGTTAGTAACACTATGAATCAGCCTCAGAAAATACGTTTTAAATTTTAGTATATCATTTAAAACTAAATCTCTAAAAAAATTCTATCAAGTCTAAAGGACAGTAGAAGAAAATGTTTTTAATAATTGAAAGCCCATCTGGTAAATGTTAAATGAAAAGAACAGTGTATGAAGCAGCACACTGCAACTGGGCAAAAATTTGTATGCATGAGGACCAACACTGGGAATTAATGTACAAATAGGAAACAGGAGCTAGTTTAGGTTTTTCTGATTATGGGTACTTTTTTCCAAAATTTATCTTATAATACCTGTAAAAATTAAACTTTTGAGAAAAATAACTGGGAAATTGCTTGAATACATACAAAAATGTAACAGTTGATTTAGGAACCTGAATATAAACAAATGTGCACATGCTTTGACAGAAATAACCAAGAGCAAGGCTTAAGGAAGGATGCCACAGATCAGTTGCAAGAGCCTGGGAAAATATGAAAACGGAATAAAGCAGCTATAATGATTTATGAGGAATTTAAGGAATCCCAATTTAAAGTATTTATTTACTGTTAGATATTTATCAGGTATGTTTCTCATCTCTTTTCTTTGAATAATCTACAAGCTGAAGATAAGTAAACTGAGAGCAGAATCTAAACCAATGAAATATTTATAAATTCAGAAGCCAAGTTCATGGAGGCTCTAAGCTACGAGGGAGAGAACAGAGCCTGGGATCTAATGTAGAAATCCCACTCATGACTGCACTGCATGCTCTCCTGCCTGCTTCAACAATAAGCTTACGAGCAGAACAGTTCCAACTATCAAAATGGACCAAATGGCATTCACTGGAGAACACCCACTTCACCAGGCACCACCCAGCTGGCCCTCTAAAGTCTTCCTTTAAAATGAAAGCCTTCCTTGTTCTCCCTGCCAATCAATGAAACATCCAAACATTTTCAATGGAAGCAAGCAAAACTCCAAATTCCATCAGCTATTAAAATTGTGTTGCTCTCGCTAAAAGGAGACTCATACTCTAAGCCATTTCTCCGACTGGAGGAATTTTACTAGACATATAATAAAAGGGACCCAATAAAATGCTGACAGTGCTGGTCTATTCTGAGGCACAGAATGTGATCCTGGGGCAAGAATAGGTAACCCACTGCACAGGGACCAACACGAGGCAATCGGAGCCCTGGCTGGTGGCACTTCTCGGTTTTCTACCTTCTCTATGTATTTCCAACCCCCTCCTCCCTCTTGTCTTTTATTGTCTCTCCCTAACTCATTCTTCTGCTTATAATCATTTTTGTCTTACTATTTTCCCTTCTCCTTTATTGATATGTAAGCATGTGCCAGGGGTGCCCAGAGGCCTGGTTCAGCCCTAATGAAGCACTGGAGGCCAGAGTTTGCTAATTCTCTTTCCAGTGTGTTAAAAGGCAATAACTGACCGTATAAATCCTAGTGGGCAGAAGGTCATGCTCTGTATTTGTTAGACATGGGGCCTACAACACTAGCGTGATTTTAAAAAATGTGAACAATTATTACCATCATCAATGGGACCAGAACAGGTTCATTTGCTATTAATTTAAGTCCTGCATCATTTAATCCAAATAAAAGCTACAAAACAATTGTCCTTATTGATATCTGATTCGCATCTTAAGCTCTTACAAGATATATTATTGCCCTATTAGATTATTAATGTTCATCTATAATAGGACATATAAATCATCAAAACAAGTATTAATAATTCAACAGACAAATGAGTAAAAGACAAACTTTGAAGAAGAGCATCTCCTATGAAGGCACTGAAAATACAGCAGTAAATAAAGATGGTCCCTGTTTTAATGCATCCTAGGAGGACACTGGCAATACAGAAGTAAACAGAAAAGACTTCCAGGAAGCCGAGGTAATGGTGCCTGTGTACAATGATATGTCCCAACCATGCTCCCAAACTATTTAAACCAATAATAAGAAAAATAAAACTGCACAAATTCTATGACTTCAATGTAACTAGAAGAAAGCAATACAAACTTCGAATTACTTACAATTAGAAAATACAAGCACCAATTTCCAGCAGGGAGATTTCTCAAGCTCTCACTCTAGCCCATTGCAGAGGGCAAGGGCTGGATAGGGTTGTGGAGGCAATGCACAGGAGGGGGAAGAGGTGAACGAATGACCTAACATTGAACTCTGGTAACCCTAAGAAAGACAAAGACCACTGGAAGTGCGAAAATACTGGGAAAACAGAAAAAACAAAAAAGTCTTGGTAGACCAGAACAGACTATAAAAAAAGGGCTTTAACAGTGTACATAAGATATGAGAAGGCAATCTTGGAAAGGCAGTACTTTCTAGAAGAAGAGTAAAAAAGAAAAGAGGAACCTGTTGGAATAGTATGGTAAAGGGAAAAAGAAACACAGGGAAATTTAGAATCTTCCAAGACAACAGAAAATTAACATACTGAAGGACACACAATCTCTCCCCCACGGTCTCCCCCAAAGAGAGTGTTTTTGAATTAAGAATTTGTAAACTACCCAAAACTGTCACGCTATCAACTATTAAGGTACACACAATCTTCACTCTACATAAACTGTTGTAAGATAAAAATAGAAAAAGATACTCTAAAAACTTCAGTAGCTGAAAATAAAAATCCTCCCCTCCCAAAAAAAAAAACACAACTACAAAACACAAGAAAACTAACAGAACCCCTACTCTGAGTTAAATATTCTCAAACAAGTATTCAAAAAAAGCTTGAGTCTGATATTCAAACACTAAAAACAGAAGTGGGCCAAAAAACTGAAAAACAGGAGAGTTGACTAAACCCATGATAAAAACAAAAGAAAAAGGCAAAATCATATCAGAAATAAAGACTGATTACAAGCTGCCCAAGGAAAAATAGATTTGAATAAAAATAATTTTTATTCAATTATTATTTTAAAAATCCAAGGGAATTAAAGTGAGATATAGAAAGTAGAGAAAATGGTCAGAGAGAAAGTGGTTGAAACAAAAGACAGGAAAAGACAATCCAATTACGTATCATTGGAGCTCCTGAAGAAGAAAAACACTATAATAGGACAGAACTAATATTTAAAACTTTTATATAAGAAAACTTCCTGGAAATAAAGGAAGATATGAATCTACAAATTAAAAGGGCCTACTGTGTAGCTGGGAAAACTGACCTTCAACAATAAAATCTGAGAAATATCCTAGTAAAATTATTAGACTTTAAAAACAAAGGAAAAATCCTCAGGTCACACATGCAGAATGAGCTCAAAACTCCCAAGGCCAGAGAATTAGACTGGAATCAGACTTCTCAAAAGCAATATAAAAAACAAGGTAATAATGGAGCAGCATTTTCAAGAAACTCAATGAAAGAAAATTATGAAGCAAGGATTTTATATCTAGCTGCCATCCAAGTACTACATCTATTTAAAAAACAGCTTAAACATGCAAGAAAATATATATCCATGAGTTCTTCTGGAACCTTCTACTAGAGGATAAACTTCAACCAACAGATTACTGTGGAAACTTCAGAAAAAGGACTGGTGGTGA